ATAAGTCACAAGTATCTTCCAGGTCAATTCAAGATGATGGAGTACAACACAAGGATCCATCACCCCCACAGGTGGTTTATCCAACATGTGATAAGAGACCTGAATCTTCTGCAACAACTAAAGAGCAAGCAATTAGGAACATGATACAACAATGCTCGGACATGATTAAAAACATGATTCAATTGAGAACTGAATTACGTAAGGATCTTGCAGATTGTGGAAATACTACTGCAACAGAGGTTGAAGATCATAAAATGAGACCCCCTCGACAGCGACGAGTTATTAGAGGAGGTATCCCAATTAGGGATCGCTCTACATCAATTGATAAACCCTCTGTTGCAAGAAAGGGCCCTAGGATAGTGTCTGATATACAATTAGTGCCTCCTCATACATCTATGGATGCAACGCCGGAGTTGCAACAACCACTTCTTCCAAAGTCAACTTGGTCTGAGGTTGTTAAGCGTGGACGCAAACAGGCTGTTGTGAAGGTGGATGGAAATAAGACCTCCGAACAGAAAAAGGTTCCTGAGGGAGCTATAACGCGTAGTTCATTCCGAAAGCGAGTGCCACGAAATTCGGATATTACAATTAGCAGCCAGAACTTAAATATGCCTACACATGTGTTGCTGAAGAAAGTACGTGACAATATTAGCCTGCAAGAAATAGGAATTGAACGTACTAAGATTCGTAAAACTGCGAATGGTAGCACACTCGTTACGGTTCTGGGACCTGATGCAGCAAGTAAAGCAGACGCACTGGCTGTGAAAGTACGTGAACTTGTACAAAATGATGCAAGGGTAACCAGGCCAATTAAACGCGCGAATATAAAACTTGTAGGTATTGATGATTCCATTAACAAGGAAGAAATCGCTTGTACAATAGCAGAAGTAGGTCAACTTAAGTTAGATGATATACGCATAGGAGATTTGCAGCTAATGAGAAACGGCATGGGCATTGCATGGGTAAATATACCTCTGTCTGCTGCTATTAAGATCTCGAAATGGGTAGTGTAAGATTAGGATGGACTAGTGTCAGAGTTGTCTTGCTGGAGCCTAAGCCGGTCCAATGTTATAAGTGTTGGCATTATGGCCACGTTCAACTAACATGCCCACGCACAGAAAAACGTGCCGGATTGTGCTTCAAATGTAGCAGCAAGGAACACACGGCTAAGATGTGTACTGCTACTACATTTCATTGTGTGGTCTGTCAAGACAATAGTTTTCAGTATAATCACCGCATGGGTGGAGCTCAATGCAAGTCCATGCAACGTATGCAACCCGTACGGAGGACGGAAAATCATGATAATAATGCTTAAGTTCGTCCAGATTAATTTGAATCGGAGCCGACTGGCGCAAGATGCGCTTATGCAGTATATATTAGATGAGGGAATTACAATAGCTTTTGTTTCGGAACCGAACAACGTTCCTCTGAATACTCAGAGGTTAGCTGACTTAAATGGGGATTCAGCTATTACGTATTGCAATATAACTGACTTAAATGGGGATTCAGCTATTACGTATTGCAATATAACTAAGCTGCGAACGCCGATATTTTTGTGTCGAAGTAATGGCTATGTCATGGCTAAATATGGTGACTTGCATATTATGTCGTGTTATATATCGCCGAATGTTACTACTGACAAATTTATAGACTGGGTAGAAGAAGTACTATCAGTTCTTAAGAAATATGCGGGCTGCCATATTCTCTTAGCTGGTGATTTTAACGCTCGAGCCTCCCTATGGGGATGGCAACGTGATACAACTAAAGGTGATATATTAAATGAGGCTATGGCAGAACTTGATTTTCGCCTGATTAACGTTGGTAATCATCCAACGTGTTTCAGACCCCAAGGGTCTTCTGTGATCGACCTTACATGGTCGAGTCCTGGCTTATCTGCCAAATTTTCTGATTGGAGAGTAGTTCAAACAGAAGAAATGGACTCCTTATCTGATCATCTATATATTAGATTTACCTTGAACCCTAAGGGTTTTGTGGGATGGACCATTAAACAGGATAGGTCCGATTTTTGCCCACGTTGGGCGTGGAAAAAACAGAATAAAGATCTATTCCAAGAACGTCTGAATCTCTCTT